ATGCGCGGCCGCGGCATTCGGAGTGTCCGGAGGGACTGAGCGCGCCAGTGGCCTCCCGAAACGCGGGGTTGGGCCGGAACGCGGGTGAGGAAGTTTGCGGAGCTATTTCGCAGTTGACCGCGCAGGCAGCGGGAGGGCCTGAGCGCTGTCCTCTATGGCCACTTGCTGTCCTGGGTAAGCTGGAGCAAGCGCATGAACTTCTCTGGTCGCCGGCGTCCCGATGAATATCTGATGGGTACGTCAGGTGTTGCAGGGCGTGGTGCGCAGGTAGCGGAGCTCAGTGCCCTGCGGCGCCCAGGAGATGCGCACTGCGATATCAGCCTTTCTTATTAATAAGCAGTCGTGTTCAGGTCCCTTTCAAACATTTAAAATTGCTTTGGTTTTCGTTTGATGGAAGAACTTTAATGCATAGTTCGTGGGACCATCTCCACGCTGGACCCATAATTGACACTTCAATATTTGTTGCTTTTTCGTCTGGACATGTTAGAATGAATAAATTGTGGCATTTAAAAAAACTCTTCTCCCACCTTAGAGCATGACTCTAGGATTAATTCATTCGAGGAATTAGCCCATCCCTGCGAGACTTCCATAACTCCTTTTCTTCCTCCCTCCTCCAGCGTCTGCATTTCCAGTGCTTGAAGGCATAGCACTTAAGTCTGTTTTCCTTCTCACTTTGTGTGTGTGTGTTGCAGGGCGTGGTGCGCAGGTAGCGGAGCTCAGTGCCCTGCGGCGCCCAGGAGATGCGCACTGCGATATCAGCCTTTCTTATTAATAAGCAGTCGTGTTCAGGTCCCTTTCAAACATTTAAAATTGCTTTGGTTTTCGTTTGATGGAAGAACTTTAATGCATAGTTCGTGGGACCATCTCCACGCTGGACCCATAATTGACACTTCAATATTTGTTGCTTTTTCGTCTGGACATGTTAGAATGAATAAATTGTGGCATTTAAAAAAACTCTTCTCCCACCTTAGAGCATGACTCTAGGATTAATTCATTCGAGGAATTAGCCCATCCCTGCGAGACTTCCATAACTCCTTTTCTTCCTCCCTCCTCCAGCGTCTGCATTTCCAGTGCTTGAAGGCATAGCACTTAAGTCTGTTTTCCTTCTCACTTTGTGTGTGTGTGTGTGTGTGTGTGTGTGTGTGTGATTGAACGAATAAATGAATTGTTTAATGTTGGTTTGTTCTGTTCTATAGTACAAGCTGTTTACCTTTAGGAACTAATAAACTGTCGAAACAAGAAACGGTCATGTCAGACCATAGGTCATGTATAATAAATAATTAGCAGAACGCTGTTCATTATCCAAAGGCGTGAAACAAGATGTTCTGGGGGACTGGAATCAGCTTATTCACTGCCACCACTCCCCCGCCTCCCACTTGCTTCCAAACCAGGCGCCTGCTCCCTGCAGTTACTCCCACTGTTGCTCCCTGGGATAGCAGCTGCCCTGATTGGACACCCCCGCCATCATCACCGCGAGGCATATTCCTGAAGCTTTCCTGAGAATTGTCTTAAAACACCTGAGACCAAACAATGCTTCTTCACAATCTGACTGTCAACAAATTTACTATTGAGTACCTCCCACGTGGCTAGTTCTGTGGGAGGTACTGAAGTCCTACTACTAAATTATATAAGACTGTGTAATGAGGTGATTGTAAAAAATTACATAAAACTGTATAATTAGGTGACAGATGCGTGGGAATTGCTGTGGCTCAGGGAATAAAAAAGATCAACAGAATTTGGAGTGTCCAAAGAAGTAAGTCTTCCTGGAAGACGTGCAGAGGCTTGTCTGTGTTGTTGCTCACCTGTATCCCTAAGTCCTGGCAGCGGCTCCGTGGAACAGGTGCTTCATAAATACAGGTTGAGTTAAATAACTGTTTGCATTGTGTCTTGAGTGTACCTTTGAAGGTTGATTCAGATTTGGATGGGAAAATGGGAGGGCAGACTACTGGAGAAATGGCACCTGTGAAGAAGTCCCTAAAGCAAGAGGCACCCAGGGTGTGCTGGGGAGACAGGGTGTTGACATGTGGATGGGCCCTTTACTTCTGTGTCCTTCGCAGGAGTGGTTGGAAGAACAATGCGTAGAGGTCTTTGACATCATGATGTCCATCCGGCAAAGAAAAGGAGTAAACACCACAGAAGTTTCTGAGGAGTTTCAAGCACAAGAAGAAAATGTGAAGTTGGAAAATAAACTGGCATCTGGTAGGTGATTTAAACTGAAGCAGCATTTTTGATTGCTTCTATTTCTATGTATTAAAATATCTCCTAGGGTAAAAATTGGTGAGACCTAACATCGAGGAAACTTGTTCTGGCACTTTTTATTCTGATGGCTTTTTGATGATATTGGTTGTACAGTAACAGTTACCAATAGATTAAAAAAAGTAAAAGAGAGCCCCTTGCTTTTCAGTTGCCTATTCCTTACCGGTGGTTATGCCAATCTGACCCTTTGACTAGCTAGAGTAATGCTTTTCCCCACCATTCAGATGTTGGTTTATTTCTAATTTTTCTGGTATAGATATGCTGTTCACACTAGTAGCCTTACCTTAGGTGAGTTTCTAATTTCATGTAAGTATTGAAAGATGAATCAAAATTTTTTCTCTTCTCATTTTCCATCAAATTTTGAAACTGTCTCTATGTGTGTGTGTGAAAAAAGTGATCAGAAGTTGGTAAGTTGTGTAATGCTGAGCAATATATCAAATGGCCTTAATAACCAATTTCTTGCCTTCTCATTTCCTTTTGTAACTTAGCTTGATCCAGATTTTAGAAATAAGCCTGAAAAGTTCCATGCCCATCAGCCATTTTGGATGTCTGCCAGAATTTACATTATTTGCAGCCATGTTAATTCCACCAGCCAGAGCTAGTAATTTGGGGGAAATACTTTAACCAAAGCAGTATTTATTCAAGTCACGGGGGAAAAAAACCCTGAAAACTATAAAGAAAAGGAAAAAAGAAGAAAATACTCCCACAAACCCACCCACCCATCCTAAGACTACCACCAATGACACTTCATCTTGCTGTCTAAAAGTCATTCTCTGCACGTGTAAACCCACAAGCGTTCATATATAGTTTTACAAAATTGGAATCAACGTGCTGTTTTGTAACTTGCTGTTTCTTCTTGTTATGTTATAAACATATGGCTGTCAACATATTTTTAAAAATCTTGTCAGCGGTAGCATTTCATTATGTGGTTGTAGCATAATTCTATTTAACTAATTTCTTTGTTGAATATTAGAATGGTTTTCTAACCTTTTGCTAATACAAACAGAACTATAATAATTATCCTAAAATATTTATAAAGCAATAATTATTGGACTGGCACCATAGCCTAATGGTTAAGAGATCTGGGGTCCATATGGCCGACCATAATTCAGATCCCTGCTCCAATAGCTTGAAAAATATGTTGGGCATATGTGCATACATGCCCCAAATCCTGAAGGGATGGAGAATGGAGAAGAGATTATATCATGACCATGTCCATTGGGGGTTGCTTGGTCCCTCTCTCTGTCTCTCCCTTTCTGGAGAGCACAGGTGCCCTCTGGCAATAAAAAAAAAAATGAAACTAACTTTTCTGAGAGTATATGCCTAGATGTGGAATACTAGTCAAATGGCATGCTCATTTCGTTGGCTTTACTCCCTATGTTGCATTCCAGAGAGGTACCGACTTATTCTTCCACCAATTGGTATTTGAAAAGGTCTGTTTTTTATATTTTTATTAAGCACAGTATTAGCATTTATAAGCTATCAAATTAGCCAAGATTTTTTTAAAAAGCATAGCTCATTTTCTTTTTGTTTGTTTTGTTTTTGGAGAGGTTTTTTCGCTATAGGGCAAGTGCACTCGCCAGAAAGACAGAGAAAGACATAGAGACAGAAAGCGAGAAATCACCCCCCGGGGGGATGGTCACGCCACAATCCCTTCTCCTCTATTCTCCTCTCAGGATCTTGGGCACGCATGCACATGCTCCCGGTGTGAGTTTTAAGCCACCGGGTCCAGGACGCGAACCGCGGTTGACTACGTGGGAATCCAGCGACAAAGCCATTACGCTAACTGGTGGTTCCCTAGCTCATTGTTTTGATTTGCATTTGTTTGACACTAATGATCATGAACATCTTTTCTTCTGGTTATTATGTTTATTGGCCATGTTTTGTGCATCACTTCTTCATGTCTTAAACTATTTCCTATCAGAATATTCACCTTTTTGTTTGTAAATATTCACCCAATATTAAGAATATATATGCTTGCTTAAGTGTGATATAAGTAATTTTTCTGTTATAGCTTATACACCCTTTAACTTGAGTTATGGTAGATTATGTTTTCCTGTGAGGTATTATTTATTTATTTATTTATTCTTTTTTAAAAATTTTTTTGAGAGATTTTTGCTGTAGGGTGCGTGCATTTGCCAGAAAGACAGAGAGACAGAAAGCAAGAAATCACCCCCCCCTTGGGGGATGGCCATGCTGCAATCTCTTCTCCATTCTCTTCTCAGGATCTTGGACACATACACACACACACATGCACACGCACCTGGCATCACTTTAGGCCACCGGGTCCAGGACTTGAACCACGGTCAACTACATGGAAGTCCAGCAATGTAGCCATTAAGCCATCTGCTGATCCTGGGGTGTTTTTTTAAATAATCAATTTTTTTTGGTAGCTTTTAATGAATAATGCACACTCTGTAAGTAGGTCATCTAAAAGATTGTTTACATCCTAGACACATAACCCAAGTATTCCTCTATTTAACAAACTTCATAAACAAACTGTAGTCACTAAACTATGCCAAGCGCAGGCACTACATATTTAGGATTGGTAATATAATGTACTTATCCTTGAGAAGCTTACATTCTGGTTGGCAGAATGGAACAGGTAGATACACTGGGTTAAAGATAAGAGAATGAAGACAGGTCTGTGGGCTCACAGAAAGGAACCTCTCTCTCTGTTAGGTACAGGAGAGGCAATGATCAGCAGCTAAAACTTAGCTTACTTGGTAGTCTAAAGTGAACTATTCTAAATTTTTTACTGACTTATTCATCCATTTGACTTTTTTAAAAGGCCATACTAATAGAAGATTATGGAAGATTCTGTCATTTACAATTGGCGGAACCATTGCCCTCTGCATTGGACTTCTTACATCTGTCTACCTTGCTACTTTACATGAAAATGATTTATGGTTTTCTAATATTAAGGTATGGAATTCCTATGATCGTTATACAATTTACTTATCTGTGTCTCCAGTGGTTATCTGTGTAGATGAATGATCAGGACAACACACTTAGACCGTAAAGAATCCAGTCATGGGGCCGGCGGGTGGCGTGATGGTTAAGGGCACTGGACTCCCGTATAGCCTACTATGGTTTGAGTCCTGGACCTGGTGGCTTGCTTTCTCATTTTCCCTGTCTCTCTCTCTTTATCTCTTTGTCCCTCTCTGATCAAATTAAAATAAATAAATTAATTAAGTTAAATAAAATAATTCTTTAAAAAAAATAATTCAGGCACTGGAAAGGTTTGACTATAAAGACTTTTGTGTTTATTATCCTAACATAGTATATCAGAGTTTGTTTGTTTGTTTGTTTTTGTTTGTTTTGAGAGTTGTTTGCTATAGGACTCGTGTGCTTACCAGAAAGACAGAGAGAGAGAGACAGAAAGCGAGAAATAACCCCTAAGGGGGATGGCTATGCTGCAATCCCTTCTCCTCCATTCTCCTCTCGGGATCTTGGGCACGCATGCACACATGCCCGGTGTAAATTTAAGTCACCAGATCGGGACTGGATCTCGCGCTGCAGTCAACTACATGGGAGTCCAGCAGCATAGCCATTACGCCAACTGCTGGTCCGAGTGTATCAGAGTTTTTATAGTCAATGAATTTTCTCTTTTTCATGAACTTACTCCAGTTGTGCAACACTTACTCTAAACTAATATTTTTCTTTTCTTTTTTTTTAATTTGTCAGAGGCATATGCACTCTCCAGAGAGAGAGGTATTAAGGGTGAAGCAGGAGAAAGCACCCCCAAAGGGAGCATGGTCACATCGTAGTCCCTTTTCCACTTTTCTATTCTGTGAGGGTTTTGGGTGTGTACACACATGCATGCAGTGTTTTTATCAAGCTGCTGGGGCCAGAATTTCAACCTTGTAGTCAGCCATGTAGGATCCAGCTTCCTCAAACAGTGGGCCCCAGGCTCAGCTCATAAGCTACTATTTTCAGTTGTTAAATTGGTGCCAGTCAATTTCTTTAACGAAATCAAATGGAAAATGATATTATTCATATAATAGGGTTGAGAATTATCTTGTGAAACTTCTATTTTTACTTTATATATATATATGTGTGTGTGTGTGTGTGTGTATGTACATGTATATATTTATGTACTTTGTGTGTGTGTGTACTATATATATAAACATATATTTTATATTGTGACCCAATTTGTGTGGTAATACACATACATAAACACCCACACGTACAAAATGGGTCACAGTATAAAATATATCTATTTTTCCCTGTGGTTGCAGTAGGAAAAAAAAAAAATCAAACATTACTGTTCTTAACCATGAAATATTAGTCTGGTTCCATAAATGGACCTCAACGTGTTCAAACCTTTCTGATACTGTATACCAGTGATGTTTTGAGAATGGGGAAACCATAATTTTTCTGAGGAAAGGAGCCAAAATTTTCATCAGACTTTTAAGAAGATCTAGGATATGTGATATTTTCAACACCAGTTTTCTTCTTTTCTTTTTCCTTCTCTTTCTCTCTCCTTCTCCCTCCCCCTTTTCTCTCAATATTCTCCAACCCCTCTTAGCTTTGTTTTCAGCATACAACTTAAAGAAACTTGGACATTGCCAGTGTTTCTGATCCATGTATACCTTATTTTTTATCTATCATGTCATGTCTTTGATATAATTACTAGCCATGACTTGTGATGTCTAGTTGCTTGCAAAAATAAATATCTACCTTCAAAGCTGAAGATTTATCATCTGACTGTATTTAAAAGAATTGATGCAGGAGCTAAAGACATTTCCTGTAGAAAACTTTTCAAAACATTTTGAGCTTTGGCCCTGTTATTGGAACAAGTCTGCAAAGAACACTACTTTAAATGACAAGTATAATTTATGTGAATAACTTGCAGTAGGCTTATTTTAAAAATCTGTCATATTATCTTAATGGGTACGACATGTATCTATATATTTTATCATGGTACCAAAGGATAATAATTTTTATCCTTCAGGGACAGTGGGTAGTTTTTCTTGTGAAAATAATTTTGCTCACTTTGAAGTGGAGAGTTTATAAACAGATTTCCTAGAATTAAGCAATGTAATGCTTATTTATTACATAGGTACTTTGAGTAAAGTTGAAGTATCCCTCTGTACGAAAGAACCTTAAATGCTGGTAACAACATAGCAAGGAGACATGTTGAAAGAGATCATGTAACCTAATTGAAAACTATTCAGATTAGCTCTTTAATTGAAATCTTGTTGGGGGCCTTGCTGGTATCCTTAAATAAATGCAGCACCCCATCATTAAGATAACCAAGCATCCTTGATTTCTCTCTGTTAACTTTCACTGGATTTCTTTTTTTTTTGAGAGAGAGAGATTTTTGCTATAGGGTGTGTGCACTTGCCGGAGAAGACAGAGGCAGTGAGACAGAAAGCAAGAAATCACCCCCTGGGGTATGGCCACACACAGTCCCCTCTCTGTTTTCCTACTGGGATCTTGGGTATATATGCACACACATCCGGTGTAAGTTTGAAGGGCTCAAACCACCGTCAGCCATGTGAGAGCCCAGCGATGTAACCACTGCACCATCTGCTGGTCCCCTAGTCTTTCTTGAGCACCTACTCTTTGGGTAACGTTAGTTAAATACAGTGGAGAACATGGAACAAAGACTTCTGAATTTGTCAGCAGATTTTCCAGTATAACAAACAAGTTCAGTGCATACATACTAAGTACACACAGTATGTAAGCAGGCATTGTATTCAGTGGTAGCAACACTGCTGAATAAGACATGACCTCACCCCCAACGAGCTTACACTGGAGAAGGATCCAGCATCCAGACAATTACAGATCATCTAAAATCAGCAGTATGATAGCGTGAGCTAGAGGTTACTGTTGTGAGTACCTAAGAGGGATAACCTAACCCAATTGTGAAAGATCAGGGGAGTTTTCTGTAAATTGGGGAGGAAAGATGAATTTCAGAGGGAAGGGATATGCATGGGAAGTTTGAGAGGCAAGAAAGCCTGGAGTGTGGGAAGTGTTTGCAGTAGTTCATCATGACTGGTACCCAGAGAAGTCCTGGGAATCGTGAACAGAGGTCAGATTATGACGGCCCTATCCTCTTTGTCTCAGAGGTAGAACTTTCTGGATAGTAGAACAGTAAGCCCTATTTTTTTAGGTTTTTGCCATAGAGACATGTGCACTCGCTGGAAAGAGACAGAGAGAGTGAGTGGGAAAGTGAGAAATCACTTCAAAGCTGAAGATTTATCATCTGGGGGGATGGCTATGCCATAATCCCTTCTCCTCCATTCTCCTCCTGGGATTTTGAGAATTCGTGCACATGTGCCCAGCATGATTTTTGGTCAAGTGGGAGTGCAGCGCCTTTAACTACCATGTCACCTGCTGGCTCCTGTTTTTAATGCGGCTCCTGTTTTAAAGATGAATCAGGCTAGTCTGAGAAGAATGGATCTCAGGAGGGCAAAAGTAAAGTCAGGAGACTGGCAAGGTAATCAACTTCAGTAGATTCAGTTGTATCTGAATTTCCAGTTAACATACTCAGTAAATAATTGTGCCAGACACTGTTCTAGCCTCTGGGAATACAACATTTGAATGTGATATGGCTTTTAACGCTGAGGAGAAAAAAAATACAGAAACAAAATTGATGTAAGTACTGTGGTGAAAACCAAATAGGATGATGAGACAGTCATTGAGAGGCTGCTTGGAATTAGAAAATAAAGCAGACTTCCTTGAGGACACAACATGTAAACCAAGACCTAACTGATAAGAAGGAACCTGCAAACCTAAAATCTGTGAGAACATTTTAAGCAGAGGGAATAGCAAATGAAAAGGCGCTAAGGTTGAAATAAACTTGGCAAGTCAGGCATCATAGAGAAGGCACAAGTAGTCAGAATTTTATAAGTAATACGGAGAGTGGTACAGGAGAGGGAAGATCAGGTCATGTAGGCGCTGTAGGCTGGATAGGTGTTGGAGCGAAGTGAACAGAGTCAGAGCTTTTAGGAAGCAGACCTGAAGGGATGATGGATTCGTTGTGTAGACAGTGGTTGAAAGTCCCAGTCCCAGCCGGATAGATGGGCCGTCTACTACCACAGTGAACACCAGAAAAAGATCTGGAAGGTTCAGTGACTTCTTTTTTAAAGAATTATTTTATTTAACTTTATTTATTTATTCATTTGTTTATTTCAATTTGACCAGAGAGGGACAGAGAGAGAGAAAGTGAGAAAGCAAGCTACCAGGCCCAGGACTCGAACCGTGGTCAGCCATGTGGGAATCCAGTGCCTTTAACTGCCACACCACCTGCTGGCGGGCCCCAGGTTCAGTGACTTCTAATAGCCATAGCCAAAGTTGGTCCAGAATTCTCAGGTCGAAGGCACGGTTTTGCACAATATTGCCCTCACTTCAGACACCAGTGAGGATGAGTGTGGGGATCTCCTGGCAACCCTGACTTCTGACCGGCTAGCTACAAATTCTGCGGTTGCCCCTAACCTCTCATTTAATAATTTACTATAACACCTCACAGGACCCAGGAAAGCATAGTGCTTATATTTGGTTACAGTTTTTGTTAAAGCAGAAGAATAAAAATCAGAATCAGCCGAAGGGAGAGACACATGCAACAAAGTCCAGGAAGGTTCCAAATGTGAAGTTTTGGTTTTCCTTTCCTCATGGAGTCAGACTGTATAACCCTCCAGACCCTTTAGTCTAGGACAATATATTGCCAACCAAGGAAGTGTGTCTGTGCTCTGGCACCCAGAGGCTTCCTCAGGTGTCATTCTTTAGGCATGACGCAAGGTTGAACTCGAGGTCCAGCTCTCCCCAGAACATGGGCTGACGTCACATGACTCAAAGTCCCAATTCTCTAATCACAAGGTTGGGTTTTCTGCTTTGGGCAGGCATCTCCTTAGTGCAAACTGGGGCCCAGCCTGAGTCCGCTGGTAGCACAGACTGTCAGCTGTGCTGTGAGGAAC